TAACTTGTAATCTGTAACCTATTACATTTCCAAAGTAACCTTCCCAACACTAACTACAGCTTAGGAACAATAGCATAGTGCATAATGCATAGTTCTTTAATGTTAACAAAAGCAACTTCAAAATGTAAAAATATATCGGTAAATGTTGAAATTAACACACTCTAACAAGGAACAATACTTCTATTCTACAGCTTTTATCAATCTTAGTTAATGTTACAAATGGACTCTTATTGTAAAGTGTTACCATTTCATCAACAGTCAAGCTAATGATGGCCATATTTAAATATATACACAAAGGCCATATAGTACAGTATAAGTGAGTGTTAATTTAGAATTAAAAAAAGAAATCAAAGTTTCATTTGTCATACACATATTATGCGGCCCCTCACTTGATGTGGCCCTCGAGTCAAAAAGTTTGCCCATCCCTGCACATTTTTACCTCCTGATGCCATTTGCACTGTTATGGTCATTGGCCATATATAAACATATGCTATTTACATACCTCAATGTATAAAGCACCTTCTGTTTATATTGTCATTGTACAGTCACTTATAATGTATATAATGCATATTATAACATTAATATAACTGGTAGTTATTCCAAACGAAAGCTCATTTAACATTGGCATGTCATTTTTCCTTTCAGCCTGGTTTGTGCATGATTTTCGGTTCAGAAAATGTATTACATTTCAATTTTCAGTTTATATATGTATGTGATAAACAGATTTGGCTTGTTTACAGTTGATCTGTATTAAAATAAAGCATGTTTGAGACTTTTATTATTATATAAAATGATTGTCTGATTTGACAAAAGTGATTGTGTGTATTTTATTTTAGTATTTACAGGTATCCGATGACACTCATCTTTCCCTGACCCTAAATTTCCACACAGGATATCCACACCCACTCCGTCCCCACACACTTACAGAATAATATGCCACTCGGACAGCCTCTCTCCACTTTAAAATGTAAGGAATTTGCCCAATTGTTTAGAAACTCCCCTGAGCAGGGTCATGCATTAGAAAGACAAAAAAAAAGCAGTGACAGTGAACATGTTTTGTGTTTGTGTATTTTGGTATACATACTAAATACTAGGGGTGGGGGGGGGAATCGATACAGCATAGTATCGCGATATTTTCCGCGGCAATACTGTATCGATACACGGACGCCAAGTATCGATCTTTTACTCACCGGAAAAGCAAAGTCCGCTCAAATAATGCATTGCACTGACAGGAGATTTCTATGCAGTATAGGCCTACATGTTCCGGTTAGCAGTAGCGCTACTGTGCTGTAACATGGTGTAGGTATATTTTTCGATTAATCGTTTTTTAAAATGACGTCGATTCGATATCGCTTCTCAAAAGCCGCGAATCGATATTTTCCAGGATTTATTTCAGCACACATTTAAAACAAGATCTGGTTAACGTGAATCTTATCATTAGTCTTCTCCACTAGACGTCACCCTTACACGCATACTAAAGCGCGGATGAGGCTCGCGGTGTTTTCAGCTTTTGCCGTCTCATTATATGATGATATGAACACGAATGTCATTCCAGCTGCTCTGAGAGTCACTTCATTAGCATTTTACCATTTCATTTGAGAAAACTACCGTCATATCACATACACAGCAGCTGCAAGTTCTTCACGGCAACCCGTCAAAATAAAAGTTTAGTTTAACGTTAAGAAACTGTCAGAATATATTACTATTTAGCAGTCTTAAGAATCAATGCTACTACTGCTAATAAATATTAATAAATCTTTATTTTTAAAAGGAATAATCACATCTGTTTTCTTTTTAATTTTAACAGTAAACCTCTGTTGTGCCCCACTTTGTTTGCCAAAAAAATAAAAGGGTTTAATTGATTAGGATAAATTAAATTAATGTTTTATGCCTTCATCTGATTACCAGAAAAATTAAGAAAATTTTATAGGGCCCTATTATTGTTTAAAAAAGGACCCTATACAAAAAAAAAAAAAGAATAGGTTTAAAATACAGGCATGTGGCTTAATTTCTTTTTATTAATTCACCATTTGTAAACTGATGTTTACTGTTCATTTTTAAGAAATATCAATAGCATTTGTATTAAAACTATATTCACTGAATGTAATCAAAAAATCGAGAATCGAATCGAGGGCTTGCAAATCGAAATCGAATCGAAATGTGTCAGGTTCTCATAGACTTTGCTTGGGTAAAAAATCCTAAAAAAATGACTCTCACTTAATAAGAATAACATGCTGAAGTGTTGTGAAATACGCAAAGACTGTTTTTTTTAAGAATTTTTTTTTTTTCCAAGAATTTATCTTCCAGAATCTGGCAAAATGAACTCCCAAAACTTACTGCCAAATTCTGGAAGATACATTCTTGAAGGAGTGGTAAAAGAGGATGTGATGCTGGTCCTTTAAGAGTCACTCTCAACCTATCTGTCTATAAAGCCAATAAAAAAAAAATCAGTCTTCATGTATTTCACAACTCTTCAGAATGTTATTCTTATCAAGTGAGGGTCATTTTTTAGGATTTTTTACCCAAACAAAGTCTCTGAGAACCTGACACATTGCACTTCTGGAGACTCCAGGTAGGTTGCAGTACTGGAAAATGTTGGCGCTGGAGACTAAATGGTTCCTGATGGTTTCACACCTAATTCTTCACATTAATTCTTAATTCTTTTGCAGTTAACGTGTCTTTTCTTCTCCACCTGTTTTTTTCTGACTCCACTGTCCCAGTGAGCATTTTTTTTTGTTCAATGGTCATGTCTTAACTTTGCAATTTCTGTATTGCATTAGTTTTAAATATTTCTCATGGGGATTTAACAATTTTTGACTTTTCAGTCTGAGTTAAACTTCTTTTTTGGCTCACTTCATCTGTAAAAGAAAATTGCCTAATAACTCTGCACACCTGAATATAAGGAGTTTTTCTCTTCCAGCCGTCATGGACAATTATATATCACTCATAAATGATTAAATACAAAATGAATAGTAGTTATTAAGACTGATGTGGTTTGGAATTGCTAAAATGTGCTTGGAAAAAAATATAATCAGAATATCAACGTGCCTAATAATTATGCATGCGGTGTAAATCTTTAAAGGTTTTGGTAACACTTTATAATAAGGTCTCATTTGTTAACATTAGTAAATGCATTAACTAACATGAACTAACAATGAACAATATATTTTCACAGAATTTATTAATGTTTGTTGATGTTAGTTCACAGTGCATTAACTAATGTTAACAGATAAAACATATTTTTTAATGTTTAAGTTTTGAATATTAACTGACAATAATGCATGCTATATAATTATTGTTCATGTTAATTAATATAGTTAATGTTAATAACTGAAACCTTATTGTAAAGTGTTACTAAAGTTTTATATATTGTTCTGTGTATGTGTGTTTCACAGTCTTGATGGTTTGGATTAACCCTTCAATTGCCGTATCCCTTAAAACCAGACTGCCGGAGGGTTACTGTAAATGCATGTGCCCACTGTGCACCGTTCTCCTGATGCCACCGGGGAGGCGTTTGCACTGACGGCTTGGGCCCGCCATCGCTGCTTGCAGCTATATTTATTAGGGCCCAAGCCAGAAAGGCGCAGGGCCCTATTGTTTTTCTAAGGATTATTATTATTATTATTATTTTTCTTT